TCAGCCCCTTTCCACATCTGCTTACCTTTGGTGGCATGTATTTTACTGCATGTTGCATATCTGGATTGGGAATGTGTAGGAGGTGAGCTGAAAAGTGTGAAACTAGGAAGGCATTTAGGGACAAGGGTGTGGCACAGCAGAGGGGGGTAGCAGTGGGTATAAGTAGGAAAAGGGTTTGGTGTGGCTGACCAAAGACAAATTATAGGTTCAGTGATCAGCAAATGAACACATCCAAGTCTCAGCAAGAGTAATTAATTTCTAACATCTTGACACATGTAATGCATTTTATTAGAGAGGTAAAAATACTATAAACTATCTGAAATCTTGTCTTTCTCTTGCCACACATTACTCTCCTGTGCAATACATATATATCCAAAATTAAGTGTGTGTGATGCCAGTACTGGGACATTCTACAAAGTGCCATAAGTGGAAACAACACAAAGCGATGGTTAAAGTTCTGCTTGAATGCCAGGAGAGTATCAAGGCCATGTTTCCTGCCTCAGAGCCTGTGAAATTTAACAGGGCATTTTCTTTTTTATTGAGCAGTCACTCAGCTTCTATAATTCTCAGCTGTTTATGTAAGTGTAAAGTAAAGATTACCAAGGACAATAACCCCAGGGGACTAAGCACAGCTACTACTCCACTTTAAAAATTAAGCCATGGAAAGTATGCTAAAATAATATCACAGAGTGGTTTAAACCCATAAAAAGCAAGGAAATTCCAAGCCAAGGCTGGAAATCCAGACTGACAGTCTCTCTTAACCCCAGGTCTAGAAAAGAATATGAGTGAGGCCAGTACTTCTGGGGTGCAAACCAGATTCATAATACTATCTTATGCAGCTTTCGTGATTTCATTTCCCATCAGATCTTCCTTAACCTCACTCTGCTTTGCTTTTAAAATAAATGTTTATGGTTATTCATTTTACAAAACGTTAACAATTTAAGGCCAGATCCCCTGTGCTCAAGTCAGAGAAGATGGGAGCAGCTCCAAGCTCTCTCCTTCCACTCCTCTAATCTTCAGCTTGAAAAACTGCCTTTGGTGCACTGCTTTTGCATTGCTTAGCATTTGCTCTGGTACACTGCACTGCCAATTCTGCCTTCTTGCCTCCAGCCATGCCCTCAGCCCTTGTATGAACGCTGGGAGGGTGCACAGCAAACACTGCCTGTCGTGCACCAGGGAACTCCCTGGTACCAGGGGGAGCTGCTCCCACCTGTTCGGGCCTCTACTAATTTCTTTTTTTTTTTTTTTAATTGCTGAAGTAGTTCATAGAAGCAGGACCTGATCTACAGCACCCGATCTACACTTCCTCGAAATAACACTGGGTTCTGATGGCTCTGAACTACAAGAGGCAATGGCACGTTTAAAAGGAAACATGTCCTTGCCTTATAGGCAAGACTTTTTAAGATGTATTTGTAACATCAAAGAGGTTGCTCCTTACAGTAAAGCTGGACAGGAGTTGTTTCCAATTTCCAATGTTTCAAATGTTTTTTCCAATTTCAGATTTTTTTTTTCTGAAAGGTCAAAACTATTCTTGACCCTCACTGGGACCAACTTAGACTGCCAAAGCTTTTTTGTGCAAAGAAACTCCATGCGCGTACCAGAGGAGCCAGTAATGTTCAGTGTGTGCATGAACATGGCTTATAACAAAGTACATGATTCATTCTGGGGCACTGAACTGTAGCTTTTCATATCCAAAATGACTTCCCTGAACACCAGCTTATTTTACTGTGTTTTTGCAAATGCCTCCTTGTCACATCTGGCCAACTCTGTATCAATAATTAAATATACACTGCTACAGTGACTGATGTATGGTTCCCTAGCTTCTACATGAATACCCTGACTCCATGGCTATAGAATCAGTCTCCCTTGTTTTATTTGGCTTGGTGACTGTTTAATTATTTAAACAAAATGAAAGCTTTAGACGCCTGTGAGTATTTAATATCTCTAAAAGACTTAAAAAGTCTTTAAGGGCTGGGCTGGGCTAAGTTCTCTTCCCAAAAACATACACATCCTCTAAGAAGGTTGAGTATCTCCAGAAAGGCACCGTGTGATCTCTGTAGGACCTCTGTGTTCACATTTAAATCCCAAAAACTTGATCACTCTGTGCAGTGTTGTCCTACTTTTATGCCAGTTCAGGGCAAGACTTAATTTCTGGGAAGTTTTCAAGCTCTTCACGTGCAACTGTCTTCTCCTCTCCATTTTTGGTACCAAACAGCTGTGTTTTCTGCACCCCGTCAGCTCTGACCTCAGCCTTAGTATGGAAAGAGCCATTTTAAGCTCTTGCTCTGACTGAAGTAAACATTAGCAAGGTCTTAAAACTGGATGCCTTACCGCCTAACTATTAAACTCTACGACGATGAGAATTTGTCTTTGTTAGTTTGACCAGAACTTCTGTTCTTCTGCAGCTTTCAACACATGTCCATTAGAATACTGTTTTTTAACCTGAGGCTAAACACAACGTAGAAAGCAACTAGGAAAGTAAACCCTCCACTACATAGCAATCTATGTCTTTACTAAAAAACACATAAGGGTCTGCAAACTTAAGGTTCAAAAGTAGTTTATACAGATCTTTAAGAAAGCAGAGCACACCTCATCCTTCACTGAGAGCCTGTTTCATTAAAAGTATATCCACTTGAAATACATGCAAACACAGACCATCTTTTATAATTATATTTTAAAAAGACAAATGACAAATAAAAAAAGTAATCAAAGGACTGGCATGGTTGCAGAGTTTCAAACCCAAACAATTATCATTTTTGGATTTCCCTGTTAGATGCTGAAATTAGGAGTACTGTGTGGAAAGTCTGCCAGGATCTTATCACTGGGAAATTAACAGTAAAGCCTTAGAGCCCTTAATAGGAATGTTGTAGTGCAGATTTTAGGCCAACCTTTCCATATTAGGAAGGTAAAAGCATTAAGTTGCAACTGAGAGAGAGATTTCAAAAATGTACTTAAGGATCGTTCTTTATTAAATTATAGACAGCTATGAGAGTAATTTCTAAAGGTTTCAGTTTGATTCTTATCTTGTTTTAAATTAGTTTGAAACTTTCCATACAGAAATATAGTACAAGAACTTTACTTAGAGTTGGAAATCATCTTCACCTTGTGATACAAAAAAATGCTGTCTTTCTACTTTTATGCTTATTTTGGACAATACTTAAATTCTAGAGAGCTTGAGGTTCATCAGCTTTTTATGTGCGACTGTCTTCTCCTCCCCATCTTGAGCAGAAAGCAGTTGTGGTTTCTGCACCCTGTCAGATGTAACCTTAGTGCTAATTTGGGAAAAGCAGTTCTCACATTTAGTGCTGAAAGACTGATAACCGAATCCACAAAGGAATGACACATTTTCAGCGATGAAGTACAGGGGCTGCGGACAATGGCTGAGCTTTCCCACTGCATAAATCCTCCTGACTCAGCTGTCATTGTGCAAATCTACTGCACAAAAGCAGATTTTGCTTGCATGATTGGGCTTTACGTCATCGTGACTATCATAACAAAAGTGGGTGTTGGTTATCGTTACCACTTTATTACTCTAGCAGGTACCAAGATAGATGGGATATGTCCATAACCCTTGTAACTTTACTGTCTCCTGAAGTCCAGAAATCTTGTTTATTGTTATAATAAAATAACCAAATGAACAAAATTTCTGGGGTACTGGACAAGCACAGACTCTAGAACTGAAATGTTCTCACAGTAGTGTAGATGAATTATGGCAAAAACTAAATTTAACAGCATAAACATCATATTCATACAACTTGTAATATTAAAATACAGATCCATATAACTTGTCATGTACATATTTAGATATGTGTATCTAATGTATGTTATATAGAGAGTTGTTAATCCAACCTGCAATAGCATCTTGAGGTTTTAATTATGAATTAGGTACTGAATTTGTTATGGATTGTACATATAGTTAATGCGATATTCAGTATGATACTAGAAGTTCTTGACTAGCTAATAAGAAACTGTGTTTCAAAACATACTCTGCTCTTACACATTAAAATTTGTGTGAACAGTTTGCACCAAATTGCAAAACTACATAAGAAAACCTGAACCTCAGCAGAGACATAAATAACATGACTAGGAGTGAAAAATGGCTAAGAATTAAATATTTTGTGAATTCAAAAACAGAATGCAAGCAGCATATACAGCAAAAGTAGAGCTAGTTAACCTTTCAAAAATTAAAATATAAATTAACTCAGTAAATAGAGTTAGTATTAGTTAGCTACAGTTAGCGTTTTTAGACAATGAATTCTCATTTCCAAAATGCTCATATCCTTGTATAGCTAAAGCTAAGCATAATTCTATTTGAGCTGTTGGAATTTTGACTTCAGTAGAACTTGGATTGAATACTCAGATGCATTCTAAACTATTTTGGTACAGGAAGCCAAAACAAGATTTTCTCTGAAACTATCCTCTCCTCATGCACGCAAATAAACAACCACAGGTTTGATTAGTAATATCCATACAATAATGTAACCTTTGTGCCTTGTTAAAATATTGGACATTTTGAAACCAAAATGCTTGGCATGGCCAAGACCCCTTTCACTTTTTCCAAACTCTTCACAACTCTGACTTGCTCAGGAAGTTCTGCTCATTGACTTTCTGCTGGACTTTGGTGGCCAGTATCAGATTCCGTTCAATCCAGTAAAAAATTAAAGCCTGTATAAAGCACAGTCCTGCCCAAGGCTCTGGAGGTACTTTGTGATGCCTGGTTGATGCCTCCACAAGCCCTAAGCTTCTGTCTAACTTGCATGACTGTGGTCCCTGTAGTATCTGTATGTGTTTTAAACTCAATCACACTCCTCAAATCTCAGTGTAATCAAAACAAAAGTGCTCCTTTATAAATCACTTTTGATTAGTTTAACTGGTCTAAGACAAAATTCTGCTCCAAATAAACAAGGGGTGTATTTGTCACAGATGTTGCTGGAGTGAAGCTGTGTGGTAGTCTTTAATGGATAGAGGAATGTAACCAGAGAGATGTACATTTTACATACCGTTTAGCCACCGGGAGTCATGCTGCTCTGTTCTGATGGGATGGTGATGCCCCAGAGTTCGGAAAATGGCAAAGTCCCTGCCCATGAAGTCTGCTGCTGTGCCAGAGTACAGTTCTCCATCTGTGGGAGGACATAATTGTAAGCAACATTCCTTAATTTTCCAGTCATGGTAAGTCAGAGAAATCTGTTGGTCCTATGTTCATATTACTCTAATAGGGATAATGAGAAAATTACAAAGCAACAAGCCATATGCAATGTATTGTCATTGAAAATAGATGATTAGACCCACTTTCTCACTGCAGAGCTTAATTGTAACCTCTTGCAAATGAGGTGTATCTCCTGACTGCTGGTGCAGCCACTTTTCAAAAATATGTTTGAATTCTCAGGCTGGAACAGTGGCAGGCAGTACACTTCACCCTGGCAGGTATGCAGCCTCAAAAATCCTACCTAAATGTGAAATTACCCTGTTTATAACTGGAATTTGGACTGGAGGTTCCGCCCAATCTACTGGTTTTTTGTGACCCTGGGAACCAAAGAGTCCAACTCATTCACTCTTGCCTCAGAAAGGCCTTAGGTCTCTTCATTTTTTCATACAGAAACTGTGTGGCTTCTTGTTTGGTTGGTTTGGGGTTTTGTTCTTTTTCTTTTTTTTTAGGTTTTTTTTTTCTGCGCAAGCGGATCCTCAGAAAACAGTCTATTCTACAGGAAAGACAGAACACTCCTTTCTCCTTCAGCCACCTTTGTAACTGTGATACTAGCAAAGGGCAACAGCTAAAGGAGAGAATAAACAAGATTATTCCCTGCTACCTTGACCCCATGCATTTCACAGTGAACAAATGAACTCAAAATTGATCTGTGACACTTCAGCCCATAAATGGCACATACACAACCTAGAGGGAGACAAAACTCATCTCAATGCATCCCTTCTCAGACAGCTAGAAGTACCACGGAAGAGGCAGAGAGAGACACTGCCTAAATTCAAAGGAGCAGGTCGAGTTAAACACCTGCCAGCTGGTAGAGCGAGTAATAATAGTAACTACATTGTAACGAGACCCACAGAAAAGAACCAGGGATCCAAGTACAACACATATCTCTCTGGCATTAATGTAGAGCTTGTCCATGAAATTACTCTGAAATCAAAATACTAAAAATGCATTTTTAGGACTGTGTCCTTGTACATCTGTATGTGAAATGAAATACTCTACCTTATACTGTTAATATGAAATTAAAAAGTATTATTCCTTCCAACTAGTATTTTCAAGCTACCCATATTACACAGGTCCCTTGTGAAAAAAGACAAGTTTGAGGATAAGATAACTCTTTCTTTAGCTAAGGTAATAAATTTTTCATGGTCATGATGAACTCTACCATATCCTCATTTTAAAACACCCTTTAGGAACACGTTTATAATTTTCATGGCAATTTTAGATATTTCCATGGTGGGACAACCAGATCCAAGCATGTCTATTGGATATCACTGATATCTTTTCCCCAGAACACTGATACCATGAAATTGAACCTACAGTGGCTCTATACCATATGGTAGCCATGAAAGTCAGGAAGGGTGAAAACATGATAGCAGAAAGGCGTGGAATTGAATGAATTCACAGCAGAGATTAGAAGCAAATAGACCAGTCGCGCCCAGCAGGAGGTATAATCAGAAGTGAAACAGAACAGCATATCATTAATTAACGATTTATCATTCTTCTATGTCATTTTCAACTTTTTTTTGAAGGGGAGACAATCACTTAATTATAGTGATTATTACGTACAGAGGATGCAGCTAAGATTTTAAAGATCATAAAACCTTTTTTGCCTGTGAAAAGGGCTTTGATGCTATGCTTAACCTTTCTTTAACCTTATCTTCATTTTCTTGTCTTTCGGTCCCTAGTGAGTTCTGATAAATCAATATAAATCAAAGGGGAAAGAAAAAACCAACAAGGTCTATTTTTCTTCTTAGTTATCAACTATCTAAAGGTCAGTCAACCAGGAAAAAAATCTATATTTAATACTATATTATTAAAATTAAACCAAACACAGTTCAAAAACTTATTAAAATTACATATTTCAAATAGAACTGTATTTTTGGTGCCTCAGCTTCTAACTCGATATATAAACATCAGTGGAAGTAACATATTTTCTAGGCTGTGCTCAGCTCAACTGACACTTTTTCATCAATGGTGACAGGATAAAAGTTTTGCCAATAACTGGCTTCAGCATACTGCAAATGGGGAAGGGGTTGTAGAAAACTAGCTGACCTTTCCATCCTTTCTCCTACAGCTCCTCCAGTTTCAGTATACCTAGGCCAGCGCCTGCAGTTTGAACTAATTTGCTGTAGTCATGCAAAAAGGCGAATTTGACTTCTTCCAGACAGAAATACCAAGGAATACCATTTTTTTTTGTAAGGCTTTAGATAATTTTTGCTAAATTCAGGGTAAGCCTCAAGTCATGTCCCAGATGTGCACATCCTTTGAGTTAGTACTGTTCAAAAGCTATATGAGGATTTTGCCTCCTGTCTAGATAGAAGTGCATTCATCTTTGTTTCCCTGTGCACATTTTCTTTTGGACTGAAATTTACTCATTGCTGGTCTGGAAAATGATTCTTCAATGTCGTGTATAGTCTTCACTGTGTTATTTCTATTGCCAGCAGTTTTAAAAGAAGTTTTCATTAAATTTAAGAAGAAAGTGGAAACTAATAATTTGAAAACTGACAAACATTTCTGAAAGGGATAGAATGAAGAAGGGAAAAAGCTGAACAAAAACTTGTCACTTTATATTTCCAGCCCAGTAGCACAAAGCAACAACTGTTCAGAACTAGCTGATGACCCTCAGTTGTTCATATAAGAAAAAAGTCTGTTTTGGACAGCAACCACTTTAATCTAAAGGAGTAGCATGCTGACACATGAATGCAAACAGAAATACATATATTGACTGTACTAAATAAAGAGGTAACAATTAAAGTCCGTAGTAATGCTGATTTTTGGAAGGAAGGAACCATTTTTGCCTGTACTGTTCGTAATCAGCGTGGAACTAGAAACAACTCCCCAAGATCATGAGATACACGGATGCTAAAAGCTAAACAATACACATTTATTTGATAAAGTGTTCCTATTCAGCTCTTAAACAGGATTACATTCTTAACAAAAATAATTCGTGGAGAGTACAGAAGTGTAAACTTTCCTTTGGAAGTAATAAGGAAGTTGAATAAATGAGGAATATAGGCAAAACCAAGCCTTGAATGTCATGACTGCTCTCATTGGTAAAAGGGTTCACAAATTAAATCTATCCTTGGGTAAAAGGTTTATTCACTAAAGTTGAGATTTGCAGACATAGAGGCTGACTTCACTTCTTTAAAAGTCAATAACTGAAACTTCCCAGAAAGTAGAGTAATTCTAAAATCCTGAACCTCATATGTACTTAGTATCTAATTTCTAACAAATATAATACTAAAGTTCTTAACTGATGAGAAGCTACTGTATTTCAGATCACATTAATACATATTTGGGAGTATTAAGTTACCTAAATGGATTTTAAAAAATGAAAAATGCAGTAATTGTTAACTTGTAAAAGAAATTATAAACTGTAAAAGAAAAAAAAAATCAGTGAAACACAGGAACATAAAACAACTTTGAGGATTCTGGATCACGAAAGCTTTTGAAAATCCCAAAGGGTCATTTCCTAAACACAAACTGACTGATACTGGGACAATGGTGTCTCCTTCTCTGAAGGCTTTTTCCAGCTATCCCAATACAGTTGCTTTAGTCTATTGCATTCAGGGATATTTCCTCCTGTGATTATATTCCTTGGAAACCAAGTTGCCTCTCTTTTTCCTCCTGCACTGGAATAATCACTAGTGGTGCCCAGGGATTTCTTAGTCTCTACATTTTCATGCATTAGCCCACTCAAATGGAGATTGTTTAGTTAGCAGCACATAGATGGGAATGGCTGAATAGCATCTTATATTACTAGGAGCTAGTTATATCATGTTCCCAGATGGCATTTACTTTAGAGTAGGGTAGCAATAGCTAACTTTAATGAGCAACTGTTAAAAAAACAATGAAAAATGTTTGCAGGTGGATGGAACAAGGAATGCATACTGGCAAAATATTGGAACAATTCAATAATGATGAACTGTTTATTTCGGTTTTGTTTTGGTGTGGATTTTTTTTCAAACACTATTGATTTTTCTAGGAGAGAGGTAAAACTGAAGATCATCTTTACACTTACAAGAGTTTATTTCAGCTGAAATACAGAATAGACCTCCTAGGCACTAATGGTTATTAAAATCTGAAGTTATCTTTTGCAAATTAACCTTGGTGTTTTGCCCAAATTCCTCTTGGTGATTACATTTCACTTACCTAAGATTTACTCTCTAGTATGGTGTCAAGAACATACTCTTCTTCCACATTTATCAAAAACTCTGTTTAGTGTTTCTGATGAAGAGAGGTTATATTTCCCTCCTGTATTTAACCATATAAATTACTCTTCTCAGCTTTCTTTTATCTTCCTGATAGTTACTCTGCATTACTAATTATAACACTGCATTTTAATGATTACTGGGTAATTACTTTACATAGTTGCCCTCTTAAACCTTAGATAAAATCATGGTCAAATGTGAGGACAAATATTCTGGCACATGAGGGGCCAGGAGCAGCTGAGTTATTGTTCAGCTCAGGAGAACGGAAGAAGTAATCTATCCATGTCCTTCATGATGTGAGACCTTTGTGGTCAAGAGTCTCCTCTTGCCTTCATGGCTGTTCTCACTACTTCACTCCAGCGCTACCTATTTCAGAGAGCAGTTGGACAAAACCCCTTCTATGCAGTCATTGCTTAGCCAGTTCAGACCCTGTTTCTCACCTATTTTGGTGGGAGGAAATTCTTTTGCCTTGGGTCATCATTTTACCATAAAATGCAAGTGTTTGTTTTTTGGCAAAGAGAGACATTGAGAACCAGTGGTGAACCTGGTGTACACTGTGAAATATACACTCTGCATAAAGGATTGAGGTAAATAATCACTAACACAATGTGACTGTGAGGCAACTATGAAGAGGCAGAGAAGAAAAGGTGTTTGTGTGTAGGATATCGGAATGTTGCTTTTAGCCTCACCCTGAGTTTTGTATAAGTCACTGAAGTAGAAATTAGTCACTGGCTTTGAATGTTGAATTTGCACCATTTTCCATTGTGTTAATATACCCAATGACTCCCACTGAAGCCTGATTGAAAACAAAAGGTCATGCCCTGTCTACTCTTTATTAGAAGGAAATATAAACGGAGTGAAAATCATAGTGATAGGAAGTGGGCTCAAGAAAGCAAAGATGTTTTAAAGACATGAAATCTAAGCCAAGGGAAATAAGATAATCATATTTGTGCCGGGCCGAGCAAAAAAAAAAGGAATGTGAAAAGCTAGACACTGTTGACTTTGTGCAGTTGCATACCGGGTATACCACGTAATACTGGCTTGTCATCATTCTCTTTCTTTATTGTATATTAAAGTAAATAGTAAAGCTATTCGCTTGAGAGTTGCTCTGCCACAAATTCAAGTCGCTTCAGGCACTAATTTATACACTGGCCTTTTAGACACACATTTTTTTCCTTTCTGTTTGTACAGGGTACAAGTTGGAGCAAGATCTGGATGTCTTTCCTGTTTTTCCTGTTAAAAAGTGTGTGTCCCCAGGGTAGCTCATCACCTGGGATCATTACAGGCTTCTAAGATCAGGAAATGAGGCACACTTAGGACTAAATTTCTGTTGCTGTCTATTTTGAATAGCTTAATTTTTAAATGCAAAGTAAATATAATAAGTGTAGACAGTAGGTAAGGCCCTAGACTAACAATATGGACAAAGTCCTGGAGAAACCAATCTATTTGGTTATGTGTCATTTCCCAAAGACTTCTGAGATAAAGAGAATCTGCAATTTTCTGAAACTATTGTTGGATTTGAAGTTGAAATAAATTGTGAGAAAGTTACATGTTAAGGATAAGGTGGCTACACCTAGGCAGAGTTGTTATGGAAAGAAGGATCTGTTTCATTCCTAATTTATTCTCACAAAACATCTTTTTGCCTTTTTCTGAGAAGGAGAAGGAATAACAATGGACATAATTAATTCAATTAGATAAGTTAAATCAATTAGACAAATTCAATCAATTGCATTAGTTCAATTAGATTGACACAGTCCAGTTGCTCTATATTTACATATTCCATGAAATGAAGTATTACCAATTCAGAAACACCTAATTTATTTAAATCATTTTGTTCTGGGCAGGAATGTAAGTGTATTCACTGTCAGACAGCTCTCTTCAGCTGAAACATCACCTGAGGGCCTAGACCTGTGGCTGCTTATGTGTCTCAGCTCACACACAGGTACAACTGAGTGATAAACTTTCCTTGGCAGCAAAACTGATGTAAGGAATGACTTGTTCCTGCTCTCACTTTGCTCTCAGCTGTGCTGGTGTGACCACCAGTGTGTACAGCCTGTAAAGTGGGCGATTAAAATGCCTTGACCTAGAAGTGAGAAGGAAAAACACCTTGCAGAATCAAGGCCTTGCAGCTTTTGTGATACCCAATGTTAGTTTATATCTCAAGATACCTGGGTCAACTGTATTCGAAGTGAAACCAGAATTACCTTAACCTAGAAATAAATTGCATAAAACAAAACCCTGTCATAGGTGCTGCAAGGAGGAAAAAAAAGCAGAAAATAAGTAATTATTTACGGTGACTGCACATCTCACTGAACTTGTTATGTGGTACCTACCTACTAAAAGCGAAGCTGTCAGCAGTTTGGGATCATAAGGGCTTTTCCCCCGCCCATTTTCAAAATGTGAATCTGCCATTCTAAAGATGTTGTCCTGTGGGATAAATAAAAAAAAAAAAAGAGGAAAAAGCAACATTATTTGATGAAAGAACACTGATGAGTGAGTTGAACACAACAGAGTGCAGAGGGTGCAGTTTATGTGATTCATACTGGGGTTTGTGGCTTAAGGAAGTCAAATTACAATGAGTGAGGATCTGCTAGAAGTGCCCACCTCCTAATCAGTATGTGCTGAAGGTTAGTCAAAGGCACAAATACACATGCACAGCTTGAGTCTCTTCTGTTCTACTTCACATATAATTTACATGGTTTTATAGAAATCTTTTTGCTTTCACTTAGAATACATTTGACTAATAGTAACTAATGAATCAGGAATTTGAAACTTATATCTGAAAAAAAATAAAACCTATTTCTCCCTGACTCTACTTTTCTGAGATATCCCACAACATGACATGATGCTAAATTCTGCTTTTCCTAGCCTGAGTATTAGTGACTTACTATTTCATACATCCTCAAATTCAATTTTAACTGCATCAAGAGAGCTTTTTATCATTATTATTATTCAGAACCATGCAACGAAACTTTTAAAATATACAAGCTGAGGGTAAAGCATATGGGGATTTAAACTGAGATTAAAAAGGGCCTCAGTCAACACTAAGTCAAACAGAGGTCAGTAAATCCAAAGCAATGGGTTTTCAGTATATTTAATTACTTTAATTTAAACTGAGGGACCAAGTCTGCCAATCAATTTGAATAGTGTGTTTATCTTATGTTTTGGACTGAGGGTAAAACCAGAGGAATTGATGCTTTTTGCACAGAAGATTTCTACATTCACAGAAGACTTGTGGAGGCCACACCAAAACCTGACATTTCCATTTCCCACCTGCACTGTGGTTAATTTGCATTGACACCTAATTAAGTCAAGGAACCCCAAAAAGAAGAGACTGATCTCCACCTTGGAAGCGGCATTCTCCTTGGCACCCTGCCTTCCCTATCTTACTCATCCATATTGAGCCCAGTCATGGGCCAGACTAGTGACCAAAAAATGGTGTTATTTCAAACCTATGGAGTCCATGTTTCTGTAAGTCAGTCCCAGGCTATATCTTTTATTACAGGTTTGTTCAATTACATCATGCTAGTACATATCTCTGTGTATCAATTACATATTTTCAAAGGAAATTCATCAATCAGATGAATTTCACATTTCACTCCATTTACTGAAGAAAAAGGTGAAGGGAAAATGGACTGTTAGCAGGATAGTAATCTGGAGGGGCTTACTGCACTGTAAGATAAAAAGGTTGGACATCATCAAGTTTGATCTCAGGATTCAAGTTCAACCTCCTAAGGCATGTTCCTGTACATGTAGCCTGCCTGATTATGTTTATAGTCATCCTGTATATGTAATATCTTACACAGTATTAAATGTCTTTCTTTCCCTTTGTCTTTCTTTCTATTTCTTAATAGCATAGGCACATTTCTTATTTCTCTCCAGCTTTCTGACTTTGCTCCTTCTAACCAGAAATGAATAAATAACCAAAAAGAAAAATATTTTTGAGATTCTACTGTAGGGTCCATACCTAGATCTTACACAATAAATAAAAACAGTACATTGAGGAGAATGTTAGACCTAAACTTCAATAATAGAAAATGGCACTAATGCTACAAGCCATTATTGAAAAATGTTATTATCAATCTATATTTTAGTGGCATTTCTTCTTAGTAGATGATAACTGCTCAACTTGCACACCAATGGATATTTGATAAGGCTGTAAAGTCAGTGGCATAACAGTTAAGGCAGAACATATCCCCAAGATAATCCCATGTGTCATTATAAGACAAATAAGAAACAGATGTGGAAAGTGATTTGGTGTAGGAAGGATCTGATTTTTGACTGTATTCTTCTGGGTTATGTCACTTTAACTGTTGATATTGGTGTGTAGCAGGCAAGAACGAGCGGAGAACCAGGTCAGCATAAGTCAGAGATGATCCATCCTCCTCTTCGAGTTTGTGGAATAAAACATTTGAAATAAGAGGCATGACATGTAAATCCCACAGTGTTTTTGTATTTCAGTTAAAATGCAATGAGGAGACATGTACTGTAAGTTTCCAAATGTATGGGTGAGTAATGATGACAATAAATACATCACTGTTAAGTGTCAAATAAATGTATCATGGTTAGTCTGAGGCCCCAAGGAGTTTTGATAAACATGCTATAGGAAGTCTAACCTGTCACAAATAGGGCAACTTGCCCAAAAAGCTTTTTGGGTGCTGAAGTCAAACTACCTCTATCTAGAAATCAACAATAAATACAGGCAACAGAGGAATAAACTCTTTTCTACGTACTTTTCATTCTCATTTTGAAAACCTAGGAAGCAATATGACTACTGATAGGCACTTGATTATACTACTCACTGGTCTGCAGTATTTGCACCCAAATTATACCCTGAGATGCCACAACAGCAAAAGATGAGATGAGAAGTCAATGTCAGTATTTCAGGGTAAAATTTCACCTCTTCATTTTCAAGGTGTACTTGATCATTTTCCAAAGAGTTAGTCTCTGGTCAAAAAACTTGGGCTATGCTCCTGGTGTTTTAAGTCCTGTCCACCTAAATTACACCTGGAGACCTGTGTGCAGGCAGCAGGGAGGGAGACAGAAGCTCTTGGGAAATGACTTGGCAGCAAGGTGAGTCTGCCTGGAGACAGCAAAGACCAAGGTTCTGCTCACAGATTTAGGGGACTGTGTGAGTGTGGTCCTTTTTGCATAGTACAGATAAGCTGTTAGCTAGAAAGAAAGCACACTGTTCTCAGAAAAATCCTGATCAGTTAATAATTTTGCTGCCTCTTGGATTTTTGCAGTTAATTGAATAAAAAGAATGGTACTGCAGTGAATCAGCAAATGCCTGAGCCATAGACAGCAAAAAAAACCCTGTGTATTCACCAAATGCTAAGTGTTTCAAAGTTTTATGAGGGCTATTATAGAATCAAACACAAGAATTCATGACAACGCAAGATTGCCAGGTGGGTGGAAAGCCTGTAGAAATGCAAAAAGAAAAAGAAAGAAAAATAAACAAAGAAAGGCCTTTGTAACTCAAAAATTAGTCCAATTTATTGTCTAAAACCCTTCATTAGTTGCACTGGCAACCCAAAAGGACATTACAATGTAGTTCAAACCTCTTTTATGGATCCTCGTAGCTAAAAACCTTGCTGTAACATGTTTTATGGGTTATTAAACTCTAGGTTTATATCTCGCTGATGCTTCTTTATAATCCATAGTAAAACTACTGAAAATTAGATTGTTTAGGTCTTGAAATTCCACAAACTCATAAAGACAACAACTGACTGCTGGCTCATGGCATGACACGAATTGTTTCACCTAGTAAATGCCTTGCATGGTAGGAGATAATGCTTCTGGCTCCTTAAAACACATGTTTTCCTGTAGCACATAGCGTGATAGATGGCAAGACTCAGCCAGAAAGAACTACAGTTCAGTCCTGGAAATGAATGAAAAAGTTATTGTGACTTCCCATGATCTGCCACTTCAAGGCTCCAGAGATTTGCTTTCAAAAGCTGAAATACAAATGAAATAACGTGTCATATCATGATACTGAGTGGTGACAAGACATAGCTTTTTGACTAGACTTATATCTTGTTATTGAACAGCTTCAGTCAGCCAGTGTGACAATAAAACAAGATGTTATATATATATAAATATACATATACCAACGGTATATCCATTTATAGATCGATCTACCTATCTATATCTACCCAGAATGGTCATTTCTTAAACCATTTTTTGCGTGTCTGCCTGCAGCTAACCCATCAACTGTCTCAACAAAACAAGGACAAGGAAGATGAAAACACACATAAGTTATTGTAAATATATATATTTTTTTTCCAGTTTAGTATAACTGCCTTGCAAGTAAAAGTGTGGTTACTGGGGAAGCACTAACCTATCAGTATGGACAGCGCTGACTGCTGAATTTCCAGGTTATGCTTTTCCCGAACCTTTTCTGGCAATTCTCACAGAACTGCAGAGTTTAATGCAGTGAAACCACTGTTGGTCAGTAGTGAATAAACACAGTGCAAAAAAATGATCTGAAGAGACTTTGCTGATGGAGTGTGTACAGCTACTAAGAAAGTATTACTGGTTTAAATTATAAGGCATAGAATGACAGCAGTGATGCTCCCCAGCCATTCCAGTACAATTGAAGGAACTCATATCCTTACCCTTGTAACCCCCAACCCATAAATAGAAAAGAACACATCTCTAGGGTATCTTTCAGGGATTAGCTGATCTCCACAACAAGCAGTTGAACAAGGAATGGTCCAGAAACAGTCAATATGCCAACTATCACAACCTTTGTTTAATGAAAAAGGTAGAGTTGGCCTTAGCTATGAGTATTTTTTACATTAACATTCCCCTTGCTGTTTTGACAGACTCTCTTGTGCTATGATGAAGCATTTTATAAAACTGTTAAGTCAAAAAAAAAAAAAGGACAAAATTCAAAACTAATACACCCCACACAAAACCCCAATAAAAATAGCCCCAATAGATTTCCAGAGTGCCTGGAGTATGACAATGCACCAGGAGGGAATATCCATTTGGGGGACTTGAAAGCCCATGACAATGTCTCTTCACTGAGTCAGAAATTGCTGGCATTGAAATATTGTGCTCTCTGTAATTATTCGGTGTTGTAAATACAAAAGGAAAAGCTCCACTTCCCACTCAGAGAAAAACTTTCAGGCTTGTTAACGTTTGGATTTATCCCCTCTACACAGAGGCATTAGTTGGGGTGGCTGAATTTGCTGCTCTAGTCACAGTCAGAGGAAAGCAACAAGTTCCTCTGAATGATGAGTCAGAGCAGCTCAGAACTGCAGTTCCCAAGGGCAGCATCTCTCGTCACTGACCACAGAGAAAGCCTCGTGTGAATTTAGGTCTGAGCTAAGTCTTTCTGAAATGAACACTGCAGAGGCAGCTGATTGGAGACACCTGACTTTGAAAAAAAAGAAATTGATGGTTTTGCTCTTTGGTGTTGT